GCTGGAATGCAGCAGCACACTTACCCCAGAGTTGACCTGCTGGGTTCTGATGATCCCTTCACCTCGCATTCCAAGTAACCAGAACTACAGGTGCATGCTACTATGCTCAGTTAATTTTTAAAATTTATTTATTGTAGAGACAAAGTCTTGCCAAGTTGCCCAGGCTGGTCTTGAACCCATGAGCTCAGGCAATCCACTCACCTCAGCCTTCCAAAGTGCTGGGATTATAGGCCGAGCCACTGAACCTGGTCCCTTTTTTTTTTTTTTTTTTTGAGTTGGAGTCTTACTCTGTCGCCCAGACTGGAGTGCAATGGCCGCTCCTGGCCACCACAGCCTCGACCTGCTGGGCTCCAGCGATCCTTCCGCCTCAGTCTTCTGAGTAGCCGGAATTACAGGCGCGCACACCCACGCCTGGCTGATTTTTTAATTTTATTGTAGAGATGAGGTCTCACTGCCCAAGCAGGTCTCGAACCCGCGGGCTCAGGCAATCCACTCACCTCAGCCTCCCAAAGGTGCGGGATTACAGGCTAAGCCACCGAGCCCGGCCCTTTTTTTTTTTTTAAGTTAAATTTATTTCTAAAATTAATTTGTCTTCCTACCATAAATTAGAGTATCCATTAAAATAAATAAAAATAAACAATATCATAAGCTAGATAGATACTGTTGCCTGCAGGAGGCCCAAAGGTTAGAGAGCGATTTAACACCACCACACTGGGAGTTTCTCTTTAACCCAAACAGAATTGAAAAAGAATGGAAAAGAGATGACTTTCTTGGTATGTATGTCAGTGTTATTTAGTGCTGTGTACCCCTGAAGCATTATTTTGTATTCTCCTACTCACTAAAGTCATCTTGCAAACTGTCAGGTAGACCCCATGGGGGGAAACTCCATGTTATAACCCTTATTTGATTTTCTGATGTTTGATCATTGATGGTTTCTGGTTTATAAGGCTGCAGTTTTTCTGTCTCCAGCCTTCCCCCTAGATTTTTTTTTTCTTTAACAGCAACATGGATGTAACCCCCTAGGTATGTAGAGTATTCTACAAATAAACACTAGCCAGGCAGGGAACTGCCTCCTTAAAGGAGAGCCAAGGCAAGTCGTTTGTAAAATGAAGGCTGTTTCTGAGATAGTAGAAATAATTGCCTACTCTTTATCTGTATAGAAAACTCAGAAAGCATTGCAGTTTCTTCAACTAGGGCCTGGCTTGATTTGACCCTTCCAGAGAAAGTGTGTAAGGTTCTCTGTAATAAGTCCAAACCTTGCTAACTTGATCATGTTATACAATGCTCCTCATTGAAGACTGTTTTTTCTGCCGTTAAATGGAAGATGGAGCCAGATGAACCCTTTCCTGAAATGATTGTGGCATCCAGAGCAGGCACTGACAAAACAGTGAGGGTTTGTTTATTTGTTTGTTTTTTAATGTTCATACCTTCAGTTCAGGGCTACCATCTCCAATGTCAGTGTCTATGATATAGATGGCTTTGGGCACAAAGTGTTCTAATTCCCAGACCAAAGGAACATCATGTAATTAACTTCCTGCTGCTCAGGAATCAGGATAAACAGTGGCCATCAGCAGCAGAAGTTTTTAAGGATTGTGTGATGTGGAAAGTCTTTTTTTTTTTTTGAGTCAGAGTCTCACTCTGCCATCCAGGCTGGAAGTGCAGTGGCATGCTCACGGCCTCTGCAGCCTCAGCCTGCTGGGCTCAGGCTACCTTTCTGATTCAGCCTTCCAAATAATTGGAACTACAGGCATGCACCACCATGCCCAGCTATTTCTTTGATTTATTATAGAGGCAAGGTCTCACCATGTTGCCCAGGTTGGTCTTGAACCCATGGGCTCAGGCAATCCTCTCACCGCTGCCTCCCAAGGTGCTGGGATTACAGGTGTGTGCCACCAGGCTTGACTGGAAAAGTCTTCTGGAAGCTGATGGTTCCTATCTTTATCAACTCATTCACAATCCATGATGAGCAAACAAATTTGTGCAAATTTCCTTCACTGTGTGATTAATTTGCTTAACCCTTGATGGTGATGCTTTTTAGCAGGGTAAATTGTACCCAGCATTAAATAGGTGACACCTCCAGGGAGTTTTATAATTATTGAAAGATGAGGCCAGGCTCGGTGGCTCAGCCTGTAATCCCAGCACTTTGGGAGGCCGAGATGAGTGGATTGCCTGAACCCGCGGGTTCGAAACCCGCCTGCGCAACTTGGCGAGACCTCATCTCTACAATAAATCAAAAATTAGCAGGGCGTGGTAGCGTGCACCTGTAGTTCTAGCTACTTGGAAGGCTGAAGCGGAAGGATTACCGGAGCCCAGCAGATCGAGGCTGCGGTGGCCGGGAGCGGCCACTGCACTCCAGTCTGGGTGACAGAGTGAGACTCCAACTCAAAAAGAAAAGAAAAGAAAGACAAAAATATCAGGTCTCTTACAGCATCATTGCAAATGGTCATCCCTTAAAGAAATCAAACAGGATTGAGCCTGTTTTGTAGCTTTGCTTTTCATTAATTCATTTGTACCTTATTTGCATTCTGTGTTATACTTGGCACTGAGAAAGAACATATATGTAATTGTCCCTATTCTTAGAAGCTCTGGTTCTGAAGGAGCCACAGGCCAATGATTTGAGTGTGATGGGAAAATCGCTAGTAGTGACTAAGAAACTGAGAGGGCAGCTAAATTGAAACAGACAGTGTTTATGCCCCTGGGCAGGCAGCAACTTTCATCACTATTGACTCTGGGCTGTATCCAGGTAGAGAGTGTGTGTGTGATTAGAAAGAACCATCTAACCTACCCATAAATGCTCCTGTCTCCCCCTCCAGACTGTGAGGTACTTGTTTGACCAAACCCCTGGGAGAGATGGAGAGCCACATCTTCATGGAGAAATTATGGGTAATGGGTGTAGGTAGCTAACAGCAAAGAGGTCGCAAAGATTGAGGAAAGGCTAGTTTTTTAAAATTAGATAAAGTGGAGCTTGGTCCAGAAGGAGTGGGTCTGAGTCAGAAACCTGTTTTGTAATCAAGACACTACCATCTGGGTGACCCTGGGCAAGTTACTTACCTCTTGGAGCCTCAGTTTTCTCCACTTATGAAACGGGATAAAACCTGGCTTTCCTATTTGCCAGGGTTGATGTGCTATATCCAGGGTTGGCAAATTACAGCCTGCAGGCCAAACTTGGCCTCTGGCCTATTTTTGTGAAGTTTTATTGGGACATAGTCACGCTCATTCGTGAAATATCTTCTCCTCACTGCAATGGCAGATGGCGTAGTTAGGCGGTTATGACAGAGTTTGTGGCCCACAGTGGTAAAATGTTTATCATCTGGCCCTTTACAGAAAAAGTTGGCTCACCCCTGTGCTCAGTGGTTGTAAACAAGGTCATGCTGTATTGTCATGAGTTTGTTATAAAACTGAATTAAGTGCAGTCAATAGAAGTATATGGGAGAGATCTCTCCATTTTATAAGAAATATAAAGAAAACCATGATTTGCTAGATGTTAATGCTTTTTCTTGAAGAAATCTATTTCATGTTTGGTGCCTCCTGTACACTTGGCCCCGGGGGCTAGGAATCAAGGTAGAGGGCCACACCTGGTGCACAGGTCCTTGCAGGTGTTGTTTCTGTCTTGGGGAGGATGGTAGGACTTGAAATAGTTTTCATTCCATTCTAGGATGAACCATGTTGTAGGTGCATCAGACAGGTCTGGGTGGGGCTTCTGACTCAACCAGAATTTCTAGAGTGCCTACTATGCATCAGCATTGTCTTGGTGCTGGGGACATCCTGTCCTCGTCATCATGGAGCCCACATTCTAGTCTTCAGATGGGTCTATTAAATCTTTAGGAAGACGTCAGAAAGCAGAAAACTACCTTTTGTGGCTTATTTCCTCTTCTAACTTTTTTATTGTACATTATTCATCCGTGAATAGATTATGCATTTATATGATAAATAACTCAGAAGATTTAAAACATGAAAAGCAAATCTCCTGTCTATCCCTGACACCCAGCTGTCTAGTTCCCCACCTTAGAAGCAGTCACTGTTAGCAATTTCTTGTACATTCTTCCAGCAATATTCTGTGTGCATACAGTTATTCATGTGTACCTGTACTTTTTTTTCAATTATTTCATTAAGGTTCTCTGTCCTCCCTAATGTTTTATTTTTAAAAAGTGCAAGTCTATAGAAAAGCTGAAAGGTAAGCCAAATGCAGTGGCTCATGCCTGTAATTCCAGCACTTTGGGAGGCAGAGGCAAGAGGATTGCCTGAGCCCAGGGATTTGAGACCAGCCTGGGCAACCTGACAAGGCCTCTTCTCTACAATAAATCAAAAAGTTAACTGGGCATAGAGGCACATGCCTGTAGTTCCAGCTGCTTGGAAGCCTGGGTGACAGAATGAGACTTAACTCAAAAAAAAAAAAAAAAAAAAAAAAAAGCTGAAAGGATAACACCATATAACCTAAACTTGGATTCTGCAATGGTTAGCATTTCACCATATTTGCTTTGTCTTCCCCTGCCTGCTATCAACACACACACACACACACACACACACACACACACACACACACACGCACGCACATGCTACTTTTTCTCTCCTGAAGCTTTAAAAGCAAGTAGCAGATGTCATTTATAGTTCACCCCTTCAAACTTTAGCTGACGTTTCCTAAGAATGAGGATATTCTCCTACATGCATACCTAGCCACAAGTTCATCAGTTTACTCAAGCATTTTGTCACTGCACAGTAGTATTACCTAATACCCAGTTCTCACTCAGGCATCCTCATTTGTCTCATCAATGTCCTTTATGGATTGTTGTTGTTGTTTTTTTCTTAAATCCAAGATTCCTTTAAAAATTCCTCATTACATTTCACTGTCATGTCTATTTAGTTTTTTTAAAAAACACTTGCTCACATTTGTTTCTCCTCGTCCTGAAAGGTGGGTCCTTCACCTTTCTTGTTTTCTTTGCTTCTTCACCTTTTTGCTTGAGGCAGATCTTCAATGCCATCACTCTCTTCTGGCCCTGCAGGTGTCAGCCAGCCTTACAAAGCAGGATGGATCTTGACGTGGTGAACATGTTTGTGATTGCGGGTGGGACGCTGGCCATCCCCATCCTGGCATTTGTAGCCTCATTTCTCCTGTGGCCTTCAGCACTGATAAGAATCTATTATTGGTAAGTTGGCTATGTAACTGATGCTTCTAAGAGTATCATAATGTTGTCATCGTCTCTGCTTGTCCTTTGTGTTGTGGTTGTTCAACATTTTATCATGAAGTATTTCAAGCATACAGAAAAGTTGTAAGGCACTCCAGAATTTTAGGAGTATTCTTGAAGAATATCACTAGGTAAAATCTTTCAGGTTTCGGATAACATCTTTGCCCACCCACACTTCCAGGGTCACTGATTCTGTCTTCAAGAAAGGATTGTGTATACTTAGGAGAACTCCTTTGGTGTTTTCTTGGTCATTGGATTCTGACCCTTTGATGTCCTGACAAGTGCAGTGCTGTCACTAAAAAATGAATTAGAAAGACTGGGATCATTGAGGTGGTATGTGTAGAAAAGAATGCCTTTGGAGTTGTTCTAGAAGTGTTCATTAGTAAAGTGACAGAAAGAAAAAGAATTTTCCAAAATATGTCACTCTTGCACCACATTTATGATTCTCGCCCTGTCTGAATATCATCTACCCTTTTCTTTTGTATTTCCTTTATTGTGAGTCAGCTTTTTTAAAGCCTTAAATCAGTGTATTTTAAAAGTGATATAGCCGGGCTCAGTGGCTCAGCCTGTAATCCCGCACCTTTGGGAGGCTGAGGTGAATGGATTGCCTGAGCCATGGGTTTGAGAAACACCTGGGGAACTTGGCGAGACCTCATCTCTACATAAATCAAAAATTAGCTGGGTGTGGTAGTGTGCGCCTGTAGTTCCAGCTACCTGGAAGGCTGAGGCGGAAGGATCGCCGGAGCCCAACAGG